CGCTCCCGCTTGCACAACCGTCCAGCTGTTCCCGCAGCGGAGGGTTTTTGGAGCTGACAGACACGTGTAATGATACTCTCCCTGGTATAAGAGCAGCGGAGGGAATATCAGCCGACAACTTGACAAAGAAGTGTAGTTGATATCTGTAGCAAGTGGGAAAGGAGTTAATAGTCTTTTTTTTTGTAAATGTTCTTTGATCTCTTTTATGTATATCATTAAAGAAGAACTCTGGGAGAATCAGGAACTTACCCTTGCAGTGGGGCTACCCCGAGCTGCATGTGTTAGAATAATACAGTAAACTCCCCGTTATCCAGCATCCTTGGGGATTGGTAGAGTCCGGATAAAAGTTTTTGGTTGCTTGAGCATTAGTATTACTATTAAAAATGGATTTAACTAATGCTATACACCATACCATACAAAATGAACAATCTGACAGGTGGCGGCCGGATGACAACAAATGGGCGGAGCTGGCGGTGATGTCAAAATGTTATTTAAGCCCCCTAGACAAAACAAGCACTTAACCCTTGCAGTAAGTTTTTTTGGGGGGGTTTTAAACCAGAGTTGTTCCTTAAAGCCATAATCCAGGGAAATTAAAAGTTTTCCCTTGCAGTGGCGCTGCCCCAGCACTGCAAGGGTTGCTGCTCGTTTACACCTACGAGACAGCAAAAAGCTGTTTTACTTACCTGATCCTTGTCCCCCTGGAAGTTGGCACTCTCCACAATTTTGTTCCACTCTGACTGTGTGCTGTCTCTTAGCATCCTCACCTACAATGCAGGTTTATAAAGCCTTCATTGTACTTGATTATGTCAATAGTCCTTGGACCGCCAGAGCGAGATAGGTTGATTGTACTAAAAATGTACAGTCAGATTGTAATGTGTATGTTTTTTTTTTTTTTTTATAAATTCTTTTATTGAACATTTTTCAATAAATCCACAACATATGGAAACAACAAAAACATAGACAATTCAGATACATTGTTGAGGTAAAAGGGGGTATCAGTAACATAAGGAGACATCAATTTCAGCTCTGCTTGTCCGGAGCAGGGCTGAATGTATTAAAAAACTACTCACCCGGCGCCCGAAACTGCCTGTCCCGGGCGTCGGGCGATAGGAATTCCACACCCCTGGGGCATATGAGGCGGGATTCGTGAGCGAGGCAAGGAAGTGGGAGAGTTGGAGCTGATGCCAATATCCAGGCTCACCCAGGTCCGTGTCCTACCTTACAACCATCGCACGACTTTCATTATGCGATGGTTGTAAGGTCATTAAAATCTCGTACGATCTTGCCCATCTCGTACGATAATCGTCAGGTGTATGGACACCTTTAGTGTATGTGTATATTAGGCCCCATTCACACCTAGCGTATATTTCAGGTGTGATTAGAGATTCCTGTGTCAGGAACTTGCGTTTTCCTGCAGCAGGAATCCCTAATCTGCCATTTACATGCGGCAACTATCATAAGATAAAAATGATCATAAGATTATTTAAGAGGGTGTGTTTAGGGGTGGAGTTACGGCCGGCCAGGGTAAGGGTTAGGTGGGGCAACTGGTGGCTAGTAACTCTTAAGGCCTGGCTAGTAGCTCAGGACTTGAAATTTTGAGCCCTGCGTTATACAATCTGATTGTAAAAGTTTATTTAAGCTGCCCATACACCTTACAATTTTCTGTGGTCAGATAGAAAAGGTGCAACAGATTCCTCCATCTACAATTAACTGTGTGGATGGAGTAATCTCCACCTGGGCCAATCTGTTGCACTTTTGCCATCTGACCACAGAAAATCTGCAGATAATTGTAAGGTGTATGGGCACCTTTAGATCTACCATCAAACTATGTAGTACGAGGGCCTGTTTGATTGGATACAATTTAAATTGATTGTTTTAGGTTCATCCTCATTTTACATAGTTTTTGTAAATCTAAAGTAGACCGTATAATCAGAGTGTATAGTGTATGGGCAGTTTATGATGTTCATTGAGGGACACAGCACTATAATGTGGGTATACTGCCACCTACAGGAGAATTGGATACTAAGTAAAATAGAAAGGGACCAGCACTTCTTCTAGCGCTGGGGTAGTGAATTAAAATTCAAGGGGGTGAAATTTTTTTTAATTAAGCTAAGGTCACTTAGTTCATGTCTGTACCGCGGTCCGCCGTTTAGGCTGCAATCTCACCAGCAGCTGTGCATTTCAGTGCAGCTGCTGGTGTGTGTTCCCAGATACAGTACTGATGTGCCAATCCCAGTGCATTGCACTGTTTATTTCTATATTTTTTTGTTAGAAGTACCCCCCAACAATTTACATACACGTGCATGCCTTACGTGTTCATTAGAATCAGATGGTGGGGGCGGCAGGGTTTTTTATCACCTTTTGATTTTTTTATTCACAAGCCCCTATGTGATAGCATTTGAGGGTGATGGGTTCTCTCAGAGAGTTCTCTCTCTATGGGGACATCAGGGGTTTATCAGACCCCTTATGTCCCCCCTGCCCTCTAATACAGGCGATCAAGCACAGGATTGTGCTTGTTTGCCTGGGTAACTGGCACTTCAGCCGGGTTTGTGACAGCTCTGAAGCTGGAAACACAGTGCTTCCTGCTTCATTGATCAAAGTGTAGATTGGGGGACGAACATTGGAGCCGTGGTCCCATGGAGCAGGGGACCCAAAATCCACAGTGCAGGTGTGGTATGGAGGGAGGCGGGCAGGCGGCATGATTGTGGCTACTACAAGTGATCTGGGTGGCTGTACAGCTGCCCAGGGCTACCTGCTAAATTGGCCACAATTAAAGCAGTAGGTAGCCCTGTCCGCACTACCTGTTTCACAGACTTCATTTACAAAATCAAAGTTGCCAGGTGCAAAACGTTTGGCTGAACAGTATTTAGCCATGGGTGCCGCAATCTAAATACAGTAGCAGAGATTCTTCCATTCACGTTGTTTAGCGTGGATGGGGGAATAGAGTGATTTATTTGGTTTACTCTAAGGGGCTGAATGAGAGAAATGTAGCTATGTATAGCTCAGTAGCTTATCTGTCTAAAAAATCCTCTTTAAAAAGATCACCAAGTCAGTATTGCTGCCCAAAGAAAAGATCTGATCTGTTTATAGCAAGGTGCAATTTTCCCTTGTCAATGTCCACTCAACAGTCTCTCGCTCTCTGTCTAAAGCTTTTAGGAACATTTCAAAGTGACATTTGAATAGCCCAGTTGGAGTGGCACATGGAACCCTTTCAAAGGTGGGTTTTGTTTCAGTGTTCCATGCATCCTTTTTTGGTGCAGCTGGGTCTCTTCAATGATGTGCAACAGTCTGTGACTATGCCACATAGTCTACTTTACAGTGGTCCTCTAGGTTCCAGTTCTTGGACCATAATTATATCTGGTGCAAGAAGTCAGTAATCGGAGAGCTCACTTAAACTATCGATTGGACTAGGGCAAAAGGTCTGTGATCACATACTACTATACATCTCAAACGTTCTGGAAGTCATGGCAGTCTTCGAGGCCTTACAAGCTCCACAAATTCATCACAAATATGCACTTCACCAGTTGGACAAGAAGGCGTCAGTATCTTATATTCAACCCTGTCACAGTCAGAAAACAACCTTCTGGAATTCACAGCCTAATATATTTCGGGATGCAGGAATTTAGGAGCTGACTTTTTGTCCTACGGTTTCTTTGATGAGTAGTCACTGCAGAAAGAAGTGTTCATGTGTGTACAGGGGTGTGGAAATTTTGGAAAAAACTACTTGTCCAAGGACTAAAGCGGAGGCCGAATCTACTTGTCCTGATACAAAAAAAATATTTTAACCCAAACCGTATTTAGCAGTGCTAAGAAGCGCTTCTCATTGGTCAGTGCCGTCAGGTGGCCGCGTTGACCAACGAGTGCTCGAAATTTGCGAGCGAAATTCAGAATACATGGAACAGGTACAGATAGTACACCCATTTCAATTTTTATTTACTTTGTAAAAAAATTTAATTTGTTTTATTATTTTTACTTCATCACCTTTTTATTTTTTTTATTTTTATTTAGTTACATTTTTAACTATTATTTATTACTTTTTTTTAAAGGAGAACTATGAGATGAGTGATTTCCACTCACCTCATAGTTCTAAGCCGACCTGTGACAATGAGACTGTCACAGGTCGGCTCAGTAGATCGGGAGGTGAGGGAAAACATACCGGGTTCCCTCACCTCTCGATCCTGTCACGGCTCTCTGCCGTGACAGGGGGAGGGGCTGGATTCCCCTCTCCCTGCTCCGATCTGCCAGCGCTGACTGGCGGAACGGACGGGGGAGGGGGCGGGTACAGCTGGCTCTGCCAGAGCCAGCTATCC